TACTACAGTAGTTTCCATTTTCTTTTCCATTATCCCAATATAACCCCTATGTACTATAGTAGTTTCCATTTTATTTTCCAATATACTACAGTAGTTTCCATTTTCTTTTCCATGATTCCTATATAACCCCTAGATTACCCGCATATATTCCCTATATATAGCCTTCACAATGTAATCACCTAGCTCAGCTTCTCCGAGTCGTTAGCTGAAGCTGCTCATGGCAGGATGCCAATGGCTGCGGCAAGGACTTCCCAAAATGTCAACGCAGCTCAGACACGCTGCCAAGCTTTGCTGCCTGGAGGACGGTGATCCCATCTACGTGACCGGACGCTGAGCTGAAACTCATGCACTGCATATAAACTGCAGGAGTCACCGGTGGATGCTTGAATTGCTTGGCTGGTCTCTGAGCTCTGAAGTGGACTACCGAGGCCACTCACTGGGTGGTGCAAGTGCCACCCTCATCGTCGCGGCACTCACGCACTTTGGCGTCTCGGCAAGAACTGCAGACATGAAGTTGTCAGCCTTGCTGAAGTTGTGTTTCAATTCCTGTTGATGGCGGCCACACCATGAGCCCGTTTCTTGATTTCACGTCAAGATCACATCACGCATCGCTGGATACTATCCTGATCGATCGGTACAAAGGGGCGCGGGGTAGTAGGTGTGATTGATGGTGTTGTTTGTCAGCAGGCGGGTGGTGCAAGATTTGCCTGAACTCAAAATCTGACAGCGTTGTTCGGCAAGTTGCTACGGACAGCTCGGTTTTGTTCTGGCCTCCAAATTACTTGTAAAGCAAGCACGCCCATGTGATTGAGGCTACAATGCCTGCGGCTCAGTTGGCCGAGAGTGACCGGACTTGGCAGCTCTCCTAGCCTCAAATTCCCCTGTGCTGCACGACAAGGTTGCATTATCGTATTTGTTGGAGCCGCCGATGGTGGGCAACAAAGCCTTCCGTATCTCGGCCGCACAATTTCCCGGCAAGCCTGGTTGTAAGCGCAGTGATGCGTGCACCTCAACTTGAAAAAGTCCACACCGGCGAAGACTCACGTTTCACCAATTGCATGTGCCCGGCGTTGTTGTTGCACGCGTTCAAGGTTTCCTTGCGGTTGTATTCTCATAGCACCTTCACGCTGTGAGGTGAGGTTTTTCACACACTTAATCATACGCCGGTACCTCTTACAGCGGTGTAACTGCACCTAGACAGGTTGTTATCATTGTATTGTCCACTAGACCTCGCCCACCCATGAAGGCTGGAAACTGAGGCGATTGGTTCAAGGACAACGTGGCTCGCAACCACCCGCCTGTGCCTGTCATCCGCCTGACCAATGGCCAAGATGCTTCGCCAAGTCCTCTGGCAAAAAATGGCCTACCAGTTTCAGCTTAACTAGTTTCCCAGCTTGAGACATCTTCAGATGCACAGTCGACACAAGGCTATCCGTACAAGGACAACGCGCCGGGCTATTTTCCCGTGCCATACGCGCCTGGCTCAGATTTTGGAAGTTCTTCAGCTAACATGCAAGCCGTCGCTCTATCCTTGCGGCACAAGTCACCAAGGAGTTTCATTCCGACCCAGTCTTGGGCGTACACCGAGTCTGCAGACATCTTGACGAGTCTTGTGCTGCAGGCGCTGGTCGCAGCTCATTGGGGCTGGACATTTAACACACTGCGTGTCTCTACGCAGTGGCCCTTGCCTGAGGTGTCAACCATAACCTGACGTGGGCCAAGAATTCGCTGCGCTTTGACCATGTGATTCTCTGGTGGCCCTGCTCAACGAAGATCACATAGAGTGCGCATTTTCTCAGTCAGTGCTGCCGGAAGCCTTTGGCAGGATTGGCATTGCATTTCCCGCGCAAGGTATGCGCCGCACCATAGCATTATACTTTCCATGGTAGCGGTGGAGGCGCGTTTGTGTGCTCTGTAGCTGCCGTTCTCAAGTACATGAAGCTAGGAGATGCCGCAGATTGCCAAACCTGTCTGTTTCATCAGTATGCTAGTGGGAAGGTCTTAGGGACCATGAGACTTGACGAGTGCCAAAACTGCAGCGAAACGCTTTGCGGGGTGCTGAACTCATTTGTCGAGCACGCGAAGCTGTTGCCTGGGAATGCTTGGGATGCCCGACGCCCCCTTCTTGCAACCTTCTGTTGTGGTGCCATACTCTCAGTGCTCCTTGTTTCGGATCTAGAGTGCCCCCGTTTGAAACCAGCTCCTACACAATGTCACATGTGAAGCAAGTGCATCAGCAGTTTGCGATATGTTGCCTTTCAAAGACAGACTTCCACTTCTCGCCTGGCCCTCAGTGGTGCAAGCTGAACCCGAACCCGTTCTTGTTCCAGATGGAGCTCACATACGTCAGCCCCTCCTCTGGTTGAGACAGGCTTTCTAGCCAAGGCATTTACGTGAAGCTTGTTGATCCGATTGGGTTTGTTGGCAGGAACATGCCTTCAAGTGCAAGGTGACAGAATTATTCTGTGATTCTTCGTGCCAAAGCAGTCCGGCATTGTGTAGGCTAGGCCCCAGCTTGGACATGCTCACATGTTAAGTCATGAAGATCTGAACATACCGGTTTCAGATTTACCTTGCCCTTCTGCAGTACCCGCGCAGTACCCGCACCCAAACATTGTCAGTGTTTTCCTCAGCTGTAATCTTAGCATTCTGACATGCCGAAGCTGCATTCTTCGGCCAAAGCTGTCTCACAAAGAAAGCATCAAGCTTGTTATTGCGCGTGCATCCCCCAAACTACCCTAAAACAGCAGTTTCCTGACCCCTGCGTCAGCCATAATCGCAGCTCTGACTTTGGCCTTGAAGACCACATGATGATTTCAGTGATCTGCATTGTTTGATTCGTCCGGGTGGGGCTGGGGCATTTGCTCAACTCCAAGCTCGTTCCACTGGTTGATGCTACGCAGCTCATGCACCTTAGGGGTATGTGTGGTACTTGTTTCTTCTAGGGTCGTTTGGCGGCTTCACCACATCACAGCAAGGCATGTACGTGTTCCTCTTTGAAGCGGGCATGTGGAACGCTGTCAGACGCTCAGTGTCCATCCATACCGTTAAATACTGGTCGCCACGAGATCACGACTCCTTCTCGGGACGGCTCAGCCCGTCACAAAGATGTTGATCTTGCTCAAGCAGTGGCTCGGGGTGGGGAGACTCGATAGACGGGGATCTCGGAGCTAGTTTTTTGTTTGACGCTAGTTTGTGGATATCGGGACCATCTTCAGTCTTGGCACCTTTCCATTCTGCAATGGACTCCTTGGAGACCAGCGTGTGAATCCAATAGAGAGAGACGATCTTTTGGAATCGCACGGTCTGCGGTCTACAGATGACAGGAGGCGGTCATTCCCGGTCCTACTCTGGAGTTGAAAGGCCTTGAGAAGGTGGAAGAGCAGTTCCTAAGCCAGAAAAGCCAGCCGCAAGCAGTGTCGGTACGGCCCTGACAGGGTGCATGTATCGGCTGGCATGTCTTCTTCTCGCAACCTACTAACGAGAAGAAGAACGCCAGCGGCATGTTGCTTTTGCAGACAGGCCCTGAGCTGTTCAGCTGCCTTTCAGCACCCCTAAGCCGCAAATTCGTTGAGAGATCTTAAGAGATTTAAGAGGCAGAACTGCTGAAAAGCTTTCTGGAATTAAGTTAATCGACATTCGCATAGCAGTGCAGCACACCTGACAAACGCTGTCAGGCACGGAGTCAGTTCAAAAGACAGGCAGTCAAGTAAGTCTACTGGCGAATTCAGCCGTGCTCAAAAGTGATGGACGGGTGCTTCCCTTCTCCACGAAGCGCTGCCCTACTGGGAGAACACAACTGCTTGCTCACATTGATGCCTGATGTTTTGCTCCTTGCCTTCAATGGAAGCTTGCATATGAATCTCTGACTGTCTAGGTCATCCGCTGCTCGATCACACTTCTCGCCCTTATCGTCGCTGCAGGGATCCCTGATTTGCTGATCATTTATTTCCCTCAGTAGCTCAGGAGCGTTATCAAGACTAGTCTGCTCAGTGACACGATGCAGCGGCTGCGGATAAGTGAGCTGACCGCCGCCGTCGTCGTCGTCGTCGTCGTCGTCGTCGTCGTCGTCGTTGTGGTTGTGGTTGTGGTTGTGGTTGTGGTTGTTGTTGTTGTTGTTGTTGTTGTTGTTGTTGTTGTAGTTGTATGTTGTTATGAATGGTCTGAAAAGAATTTTTGACTATTGTTACTAGTATTGCATGATCCTTTCCTGTCCTTACAAGCTCAGATCTCGCGCTTTCTGCACTTTGACAGTCGTCAGCAGCATTTTCCGAGGTGGTTCTTTGCGTGCGCTGTTGCTGCTGCCGTCACAAGACGGTCGCCGACAAGAACTACAAGCGCCTCTCTGCTGAGCAGCAAACATGATCTTCCGTTTCAGTGCATGTTGAGTACAGTCTCACCCAAAACCATTGATTTAACATTGCTCCGGTTCCCTTCTCACACATCTCTGGAAGCACCCAAGCACAACCGCATAGAACTGCATGCACCAGGCATGCGGTGATATGTTTTCCGGGCTGGGCATTCTGGCAAACCTGGTAGCCAACCGCCCCTCCAACCACTTCAAATGTCGCGCCAGAAAGCGTCGCGGCCAGGAGGTCTGCTTCAGTGATGCTTCAGCCGTCAGAAATGCACGCAACCTTTACACAAATAGATTTTAAAGATGTTGGCTGCTTTCTGCATATGACTCTGCATCCTTCACAGCTATGTGAATGCCAGGGATTCGTGCCCAAGCGGGAAGTCAACAGGATAGCGCTACCTTTGCGTTGCTTTTGCTGGGACTCTGGCTCAAGCTTTCTCTGCGAGCGGGAGAAGCCGGCTGCTTCCCAGCGGCCGTTTAGAGTGCAGCATCAGCAATCAGCATGCATTGGCAGTTGTCGGTCGTAGTCTTGTCTTGCACTAGCTCTTTAGCAAGTGCTTGTTCGCTTTGCTTGAGGTGACCCCCAGTTCTGGCGGGGTCTTTGATGACATCTGCGCGACGTAGCGTGGCCAATTCTTGGGCATTGCACATGTAGCGCCCTGCAAGATGCGTGATTGAAGCCAGAGTGCCGCGCTTCACCAGTGTGGACGTTCGTAGTCATGAACACATGCACCCATGAGGCATCGATGCCCTGTACTGCACAGCAGAATCTGTTGAAGACGTGGTAAGGCGAGGGCTGAGTGTGATGATCTTGCCTTTTACGCTGAGCTGAGAACGTAGCATGGCGTCTGCCGTCTTAAAGACAATCTTGTTTGTTTAGCTCGTTTCAAGCAACTGGGAACTGCACTAGATTTGGTTCAGGTGCGTGATTGAGGAGACACACAGAGAGGCCGATGACATCAGAAAGGAGGCCCGATGTGGGGCTGCACTTTGCAGTAGAGGGTGCCTCTTGCATCCACCCGGTGCGACATGCACTGGCTTTGCAACATGCAATAGTTAGCCTGTTGCACAAAGCCAGCCTGTCATGCTGCATCTAAGTTTATTTTGGTTTCACAAATGGTAGTTTTCGTAGGGGGACTCTAATACAGGCCCCAAAATTCTGTATTATAATTATCCCTTGTCTAAGGACACCCAAAAAGGGACCTCCAATTTTGGGAAACACTAACCGCCATGCTCCCCTGTATAATCCCAGTTTCCATGTCATTTTCCATTGTCTTTTCCACTTGCTTCTCCATTATGAGGACCCCCAAATGTTACCCTGAACCCTAAACCCTAGACCCTAAACCCTAAACTTTAAACCTCAAACTCAAAACTCCAAACCCTAAACCCTAAACCCTAAACCCTAAAACCCTAAAACCCTAAAACCCTAAAGGCGAAGCCCCCAGGATGGGCCTCAAGGCCCTTGCCTTTGATTGAGGTCGCAGCTGCCATGGAGGAGCGCGTTCAAGCGCTGCAGGCTGGAGGGGATTTGGGGGGTTGCCCAAAACTAGGGGTACCCTCAAGAAGGCCACAACTGTCATAATAAAGGGATATGTAGGTTTTAGGGTTTCCCAAAATTAGGGCACACTCCCCAGAATAGTGGATTATACTATTTTGGGGTCTATGGTGGCATCACTCAAATTTTCTGAAGGGATTTCAGTGAAGGGCCAAGAGATTGATGGGCCCAGGGGGGAAAGCTGGCAGATACTGGTCCAGGGGCTGTTGAAGACCTTGCGAACAGCCATATTATGAGCAGTCGTCTGAACTCCTTAAAGGGTGGTTGTATAGCATATTTTATAGGGGAGTATTGCAAGGGTTACTAAGGGGGATACTAGGATTGCTAGGAGTTTAGACGATGGCTCATATCAGGAGTTTTATTCACAAGTCGCTGGAGTTTCTGGAGCAGCCTTCTGCCAGAGCATCTTGTATTGGCTGCATGGCACGTGCTTGATGTTTGTCAGACCCAGTGCGACGACCGACGACCGCGATTTTCCGTTCTCAGCACGCTGAGAAAAGCTGGAAAGCCAGAAAGGACCAAAATGAACCAGGCAGAGGCAAGTGATACAGTGCAAACCCCTCCCGGCGGACGTCCGTATGTATGTGCAAGAGACGTAAATCCACACTGAGAGGAGGACACACAAAAGAGGAACGAAATCATAGAACCTCATAGACATGTCTACCCCGATATAACCCCAATATACTATAGTAGTTTCCATTTTCTTTTCCATTATCCCAATATGACCCCAATATACTATAGTAGTTTCCAAAACATCTTTCGTTGGAGGGCGACTTACGAGCAAAAGTTCTTCAGAAGGGGTTGAGCGATTCGCAGATCTGAAGTTTTGCGTCAAAGGTCAGTTCCCGCTCGACAGTTCCCAATTCGAGTAGCATTTCAACTGGGAATCGCATAGTCGCCATATATGTATATATATATATATATGTATTGAAGCTGATTTTCTCCCTTTAGCTACAACACGTGATTTGAAGAATGACGTCTTATTTGGTTCAACCACCCAAAACAGCGCTCATTTGCTACTTGGCCTTCCTCGTTTGTGTTGCGCTGACAAACCTGGTCAGGCACGGCAGCAAGAGCTGATGGAGCAGATCGACCTCCTGGTGCAGTCCAAAGTGGAGGTCGCTTTCCTAATTTAAGCCAGGTCTCCCTGGGAGGATAATGCCATGATCAGTCGGACCCTGTTTTTTGAGCCATCTGAAATTCTGGGCTTGCAGACTCTGGAGTCGCAGCTGCGGCAGATACAGAGCCTGGGCCTTAGAAAGGGACTGTCCGCAGCAATGTGATCTTAGCGAGGCTTTTCTGAGCCTGGAAGCAATGGTTTGGCTGATGCGAACTCTCGTACGTGTCCGGTACGTGTTGCCTCTGCTTCGAACTCCAATTTTTTTCCTTCTCGTACTGTTCAAGTCAAGCTAAGTGGTTGTGAGCTGCATGGCAGCGCTATCTCAGGGGGTGTCCAAAAGCAGCCTCTGGGAGTTTTCTGAGACTGCTAATTAGGCTCGGGCGACTCGCAGGATAGCGTCCACACCCAGTTGCAAGGCCTAAACCCTACTGCAGTTAAGGGATTTAGGGTGTTAGGGCTGAAGGTCTCAAGGATTTTCGGGTGTTAGAGGGCTTCAGGCTTCCAGGATTTAAGGGTTTAGGTCAGGGTCCAGGGCTTCATGCGGCAAGCTGACCAGGTGGAAACTGCCCTTATGCTCCGGCCGAAGATCGCGAGGCTTGCTGAGTGAAGATCCGAATCCTTCCTGTCTCTTTTTGTTATTGTTGTTATTGTTGTGATTTTGGTTTCCTTGATCCCTGACCCTAAACCCTTGGTTCTGCCCTACACCAAGAGCGCTCCTGAATTGTACATGCCGTGTTTGTGTTTGCGTTATTCTTTAAAACGTTTAACTGTTTGGGCTCGTGTGTTTCTTGCGTAGGAGTATGTAGACGTTCATAAAGCTGCTACTATGTGTGTTTTCTGCATAAAGGACCTAATTTCAAGAACGCTCCTTGGCAGGATCCAGATGCTCCGCCCATGGATGGCGTCTATCTGCTGCGAGCAGACTCTGTGATTCGTTTCAGGCCGTCGACTGCTACGACATGACGCTTAAATCATAGATCTCGCGCTCAGTAATTTTCCAGCCTGAATCCGCGAGCGTTGTGTTGAGAAGCTTCATCATGACTGCGAGCTTGCAAAGCTCTGGCCCAAGTCAAAGCGTTCTATGTGTGATCGACTCCCCTGGCACCATGGCTCGTGCATTGATTTCCGCCCGGATGCCTAGTTGTGCCTTTGGGTATGATCTGCGTGGCTTCACCGATGTGCGGCAAGGGATCGGTGAATCCTTGAGGTATTTGAGCATAGAAGGTCGACATGGGAATCAGGCTACATGATCTTGGGCGGCTGTGCTGATGTGCAACGCGGTTTCTGTCGCTTCGAGTTGTCCTCGTAGCCGGACATAGCCGGACATTTCGAGGTCGAGCGTGTGTTCCCTTAAGGAAAGCTGCATTCCCTGCCTCTATCCAACTGTAAAGTTTTCTGCAAGACGGCTGTGAGTTAGTTCGGACGATAGAAGAAGGGTACTGCATTCATTTCATTGGCATGGGCTTCAAGACAACACTCCCAGGAGCAAATTCGAAGGTTTTGTGCAACTTCAGGTTCTCTTGGCCATGCTCGTGGCTGGGTCTGCCGCAGATGCCTGGCGTGTGAGACGGCATGCGAAATGGTCACTTCTTTGTGGGTCATAGAGCACCACGTTGAAGTCCGTGGAACAGTGCCAGGTTCTTCTGCCTGTTCAGCTTAGATCCGTCAACATCATTCGCCTTGCTTGTGGCTCCAACATCACACAAGAAACAGTTCAAATAGCAGCAGGGCCCAAGCCAACCCTCGTTGTGTGACTTTGATGAGACGAAGTCGTCACTCAAGGTCCCAGGCCTTCCATGTTGGTACCTAGCCTCGAGCGCCCTTGGTCTCGCCCTGCGCGGGCCTAGGATGAGATGATGCAAGCCTTGGCTGCGGATGACGAGTCTGCCGCCCTCAACTTGCTCCAGCACAAGGGCAGTGCTGAAACTGAGGAGCCAAAGATGCTGGCAAGCTATGCCTAAGGAGTTGATTTTCTCTGCATGTCTGTTGGGTCACCGCGCAGAGTTGTCTAAGCACGGCTGTAACCCCAACTGAAGGAAGTCTTATCCGTGAACACAGGTGGTTGTGAGCTCAGGCGAGTAGTATTTAATTCGGGGGTACTATGGTACCCAAGAGTAAGATTATATCTTCCGTTTGAGTATAGTATTTTGTATATAGAATGGACTCTACTCAGGCTAGGATGCCGAGCCCGAAGGCCAAAAAGCGCCCAAGCCTGAAGTCATGAATGCAGTGCCTAGGACCTAAGCACTGAACTTCTTTGAGGCAGTAGCAGGCTGGTAGTTTCCCTGAATAGGGGGCCCTCCACATAGACACCACCAAAAATAAAGCCCTTTTTATGGGGACACCTCCAAAGGGCACCTCATGTTATATAGGGATTACATACAATTATATGGGGACTACGTTCTCTTACATTCTAGTAACCACCAGTTTAAGATGAGAGCTCTTCATAGGACGAGATGATGAATGCCGAGATCGCAGTGCAGATGTCAACTCCAGGCTTCATGGGAATGATTTTGGGTAATATTAGGGTTATATAGTCATATAGGGATTATATAGGGGTTATATAGGGATCATATAGGGATTATCTAGGGGTCATATAGGGATTACATAGGGGTTATATTGGGATGATGGAAAATAGTATTTAGGGTTCAGGCTTCAGGGCTTAGGGTTTCGGGCTCCTGGGTGTAGAGTCTAGGGTTCTGTGCTCAGGCTTTCGGCCTTAGGTTTAGGGTTCACGGTTCAGGTTTAGGGTTTAGGGCTGTCAACGCAAGAGACTCACTCACAGAAGAAGCTGCCTTGCAGCCACCAGTCACATGGACTCACAAATCCTAAATAGTAGTTTCCATTTTCTTTTCCATTACCCCAATATAACCCCTATATAATCCTCATATAACCCGAACATTACCCCAGTGATTCCCATGAAGCCTGGAAACCCTAAACCCTAAACCCTAATCCCTAAACCCTAAACCCTAAATCCTAAACCGCAAATCCCTAAACCCAAAACCCTAAACCGTCACAGGTACGGCCTTCCTGGAGGAGGCTGAGGGCCGCTTCAGGCCTCGCCTCCTTGACAAGTTCAGCCATGACGCCAAGAAACGGCCACATGAGCTATATATTGGGGTATATTGGGGGTAATGGAAAAGGAACGATCATTACGAGCTATAGGAGGATTACTATAAGGCTTACTAAGGGGGATACTAGGAGTTTCGACTATAGCTCACATGCGGGTTTCTCAAATTAGGAGTAGCAATTTGGGGCTCCCCAGAATAAGTAAGGACTACAGTACATTGGGGTCCATTTCGAGGTCCCTTGTTTTGGGAAACCACAACATTGAGCAGCTTCGTAGACTTTGTGTGCAACCTGCCCCAGCACCTTCTGTAGGAACTGCAGAAAGATCAATATCATTAGCATTTGGAACTGCAGGTGCGGTGTGATCTACTGCTCCTTAGCTGTGTTAGGCCAGTCTGGCTACCCTAAACCCTAAATCCCTAAACCCTAAATCCCTAAACTCAGTGAGCCCGGGGCCGTCGAGCAGGGCCAACGCGCCGAAGCCGGCAGGCCAGGCAGCTCGACAGAGCTCCCAGTCCCACAGACAGCTGTGGGCTGCGCGTTAGGCCCAGCAGTTAGCCAAACCTTTTGCCGAGTCGATGCGTCCCTCCAAATCGTTCTTTTTGGATGGGCCTCTTAGGCCGCCCAAGATCCTCCTTGAGGCCTCTCCGCCAGCGAACGTCGGGACCAGGAGGCTGGCAGGTTTAGACAGCAGAGAGCTCCCAGGGCCTCCCAAAAAACCTCTCAGGCGCCTCCAAGAAAGTTCCGGCCTGCAGGGGCTGTTCAGGGACTTGAGCCTTCAAAGCCTTCGCACGCCTTCTTGCCAGGCCTTCTTTTCCAAGACTCCAAAAACCTCCCAGCCACTTGCCGTAAATAGGTCCATAGTCAGGGCACCATCTGAAGAAAACTGGAGGCCTCGAGCCACCCCCAAACTCAAACTGGCACCCGTCTAGTCTGGACAATCCCACCTTCCGGACCCAAATCCAAACCTTGCACCCGTCTTGTCCGGACGCCTGGAAGGCTGAAGCTCAATAAGCACGAGCAGCCTGGAGCCAGACCCAGCCCAAACCTTGCACCCACCTGCCGTAGACAGGTCCATTTGTTCAAGACTGGAGGCATCCAGTCAGGGCACCATCTGAAGAAAACTAGAGGCCTCGAGCCCACCGGTCTAGTCTGGATAAGTCCAGGCTCAATCTCAATAAGCACAAGCACCCTGAAGCCAGAGCCAGCCCAAACCGTACCCGCCTGGTCTAGACAGGTGCCCGGGCAAGGTAGACGGGTGCAAAGAACAAATAAGAAGACAGGAGCGCGATCAGAGTTCGAGAGAACCCTAAACCCGTAAAGGTCGAGGCGAGGGTGGAGCGCCAGCGGGGGTGGGCTCGTGCAAATCGGGGTGCGCGCCTGGGTGCTTCCAGCACCAGCG